TAGCGATGCCCTAGTAGCTTCTTGCTCCTAGTAGTAAGGCCAGGAGCACCTAGTAGCGTCCTTGCTACTAGCAGTAAGGGGAGGAGCCCTAGTAGCGTCCTTGCTCCTAATAGCGATGCCAGGAGCCCCTAGTAGCGCCCTTGCTACTAGAAGAAGTTAACAAGGTGCCTTCCTATTCGTATCAAGAAGGAAACCCTTTTTATGAAAAAGGAAATCCAATAGCGATGGCCCCCAAACCTAGAGAAGAAAAAGCCCTGGGGGGGCGGTAGGCCGCGACGAGGGAGGTAGAAGCAAACGGGAGTCGCTACTAGCAATAGGTCGCTACTACCCACTGAACGCAGGATAGCTCACGCTTCAAGGAAGCTCCCCCCACCTGAGGGCAGGCAAAAGCTTCCTTGCAGAAGCGCTCGCAATGATCATTTAGTAGCGTTCTCTTGCTCCTAGTAGCGATGCCAGGAGCCCGTAGCAGCGTTCTCGCTCCTAGTAGGTACGGCCAGGAGCCCCTAGTAGCGTCCTTGTTACTACTTTTTCAGAGAAACTTAACAGTTGTTTCTTTCGTTTTGGGTTCAATGCGATATGATTCCCCACATGCATCGAGGCCGTGTTTGAGGCTGCTCAGCGGGGTGACTCTCGTAAAGTTCACACAGTGCCTTGGAATCCGAAAACCGGTTCTTTGGAGAACACCTAGGAGCAAGGACGCTACTAGGAACAAGTGCATCGCTACTAGTAACAAGTGCCTTACTAGTAGTAACAAGAAGATATTAGAAACAATATTATGGTTGCAGGTGGCCGGCGCGTGGATATCTTTCCCACTGCCGAACCCAGGGGGTGAATGTGCATATGTGTGGCATGCGCTGGTGTTGTTCAGTTTCTCCTTGATGTTCATATACAGAACAGAGAAAACTCGTCTCTGCACCACAAAAACAAGGAGCCAATGAGTACAGGCCAGCGCTTGTAGGTTGGAGGCCATCGCTAGTAGGTGGGAGGCCAGCCATCGCCTTGATATCGGCCGGTTGCCGAGACTCTCTGACATGACGGGGTCAGAAAGTCAACGCCGCTTCTCACTGAAGCGCTGCAGTTTATGGGACAAGCCTGTGGCTTAAAAAGAAGTATGTATGACTGTGTTTTTCTTTGTGAGACCGTAAATGAAGCATCAAAGCAACAATAAAGCCGTCAGAATCCAGGGAAGATAGCTATGCCCTCCATACCCTGTACATGGCATTTTGGAGATGGAACATGATGGAAAGGTGGCTGTGCAACCAACAGAGTCCAAATTGCTCCACATCCACACTCGGATGGTTGGCCTGCAAGGGAGAGAGAGAGAGAGAGCGGGGGGGGAGTGCTGAAAAATGGCGCTGCTGAAGTTTCACTTTGTTTTTTTGATATAGCTCGTGCGCGCTCAACAACTAAACTCACACGAAGAGCAAAACAAGACAAGTGGGTTGCTTTCCATCTTCAAGGTCCACTGCCCGGAAAGCCATGCAGCGCACGCCATACTTCGCAACCAACAAAAAAGAAACAGAGAAGAGACCTCTTGGTTTTTCCTTCCTACTAGGAGCAAGGACACTACTAGGAACAAAGGGCATCGCTACTAGGAGCGATCGGACGCTACGAACGGGGCTCCTGGCCTTACTAGTAGCAAGAAACTACCTTACGTCCTTCTTTGACTCACACTTGTGAGGCGTTGAAGGCGCATGGCGACCCGAACTGCGTGAACTTTGCTGGATACAACGCTCGGTGCAAAGAGCATGTTGGAAAGGCTTCTATTAGGATGGAGACCACACATGCCTTTGTTTCATGTTTGTTCTTGCTTTTCTTGCTAGTAGGTTGGAGGCCATCACTAATTACTAGGTTGGAGGCCATCGCTAGTAGGTTTTTGCTCTAGCTTTGCTGTTTCTTTGCTTTCTTTTGGAAAGGCGTCTAGAGAGTTCTGCCGAAAGACATTGGTTCGCTTTGTCACTTTTCTTTGCAACCGAGGCCTTGATGCTTTCGGTGGCAGGTGGCTATATTGAGGCATTCTGAAAGGGGTCAACCACTCTGTTTCTTTTTCGCCATTAGTAGGATTTTGTTTGCTAGTAATTACAAGTGCCTCGCTAGTAGTAACAAGTGCCTTACTGGTAGTTACAAGAAGCTAGTAATTACAATCCTAGGGATTACGAGGGCTTCTTCAAAGAAGCTTCCCCCGCCTTTAGGGCGGCGTGGGGAGCTTCCTTGAAGCGTGAGTTATCCTGTAGCCTCTTGTTACTACTAGTAAGGCACTTGTTCCTAGTAGCTTCTTGTTACTAGTAGCTAACTTAAACTACTAGCTACCGTTTGAGCTACCTACCTCTAGCTACTACCTACCTCGTCGCGGCCTATCTACTATCCCCCTTACAAAATAGAAAATATAAGAAATAACAAATAACAATAATGCACTCTTGTTCTTTCCTTCTTTTTTCTCACTTTGTTTCTTCCTTCGAACATCTCTGAGGTCGTAGCCATGTTACTCCAGGCGAGACATTTTCTCCAGCGCTTTCCAGCGAAAGAGAATCCGGGAAAAATGCAGAAAACGATAAGAAAAATGTATATAACAAAAAGCTATTAGAAACAAGTGCCACGCTAGTAGTAACAGGTGCCTTACTAGTAGTAACAAAAAGCTATTTTGAAATATGTCTTTGTCAAGCATGTTTTTCCGGAAATGAGGCCAGCGCTGACCCGAATCGAGGAATTTCAGGAGTGGCACCCTTGATGATTGCGCGGGAAGCCGAGAAAGCCATGTCTGAAGCAGAAACGAAACGTGCGAGATACGTGTTTACTAGTAGTAACAAGTGCCACGCTAGTAGTAACAGGTGCCTTACTTGTAGTAACAAAGAAGCTATTAGAATTAAGTTTAAATTAATAGCGAACCTTGTTACTACTGATACTGTCAACTTTGTCAGGGCAGCATCTGGCCAGCTGGAGGCGGCTTTGTCGCATTGGGATGAAAGCAAGAAGCACAGCAGCTAAACATGGTGAATCTGCCCAAGCATCGAATGCAGTTTGTTCAACAATGCTAGTAGGTTGGAGGCCATCGCTATTGGTGAAGTTTCCCTAAAAATCTAGGAAGCTCTCATGGATGAGATGGATGAGAAACACGGAAACACGCAGCTATCATGGGATCCTACTTTGGCCAGTAAGCTAAGACTTTGCAGCACGGGACATCGCCACTGAAACATGTTTTAAAGGCCGCCCTGCCCGCCAACCTAATTGCGATGGCCTACAAATTCCAACAAACACGTAAACTTGTCCTGAAATCAAAATTTAATATTCTTCTTGTGTCTAATGGTAAGGCCCTTGCTCCTAGTAGCGATGCACTTGTTCCTAATTAGCGGCTGCTTTTTCGTCTCGGTGTTCGAACACGAATCCGTGCAACACATGGTGTGAGGTCCACACAGAGCGCACCCCGGAAGATTAGAGCTGATTTAGCCAGAGTGATACCGTAGCCCTGTAGATGTTTCACGTTCCTCAAGTCGTGCAGCTGTTGCGCTTGCAATTTCTTCCCATGTGTTGGATTTTTCTTAGGACTTTCATGCAACGTCTTGCAATCTTTAGTTACTAGTAGTAACAAGAAGCTATTAGAAACAAGTGCATCGCTTCTGGTAACAAGTGCCTTACGAGTAGTAACAAGAAGCTAGTAGTAACAAGTGCAAAAAAATGGATTTCATCCGCCAATTAGCATTTCTTAGGTGTCTCGAATGCTGATCAATTGTGGTGCTGCAGCGACCGGAGCCTGCGAAGCGATGGGCAGGTGCGCGAAGCGCTATGGAAGAAGCGTCTATTGTTTAAAGCTTTGAGCGAAATGCGAAAGAAGAAAGAGGAGAATTGGAAGCTATTAGGTTGGAGGCCACTAGTAGGTTTGGTATGGAGTCTCCACTCTTGTCTTGAAAAGATCAAGAAAGCTTCTTGGGTCTGGAGGGTTCTTGGATTCAGCAGAAGGTCGCCAAGCTTCCTCCGGTGTCCTCCGGTTTCTTCACTTAGAAGGCTCACAATGCTTCGACAAGGACTGCTCTTCATCGGGCAGCAGAGCGAGGCCATGCAGAGATCGTCCGTTTGCTGGTCCAGGCGAGAAAATGTCCAGGAGCAAGGACGCTACTAGGTTGGAAAGACTATTTGGTTGGAGGCCATTGCTACTAGGGTGGAGGCCATCGCTAGGTTTTTGTCTTTATCCTTTCAGAGTCATTTCTTCATAAATCCTATTGACGCTTTCGGGTTGCAGTTTGCTCCAGGCCGGCGCTTCTGTGGATATTGGTGACTTTGAGGCGACGAGAAACTCGAATCGGCTTCGTTGTGGCTGTGCCTGCAACCCTCGTTCTGTTTCTGACGAAAATTGCAAAATCTGGTTTGAGGCCATCGCTACCTAGTAGTGTCCTTGCTTCTAGTAGCGATGCCCGTTGCTCCTAGTAGCGTCTTGTTACTAGTAGTACTTGTTCTCCACCCTAGTAGCGATGGCCATGCTGGAAAACATATTTGCTGTTTTGTGCTCCCACCTTGCACAGAGACATGAAATGATATGAATCGCCCTACACAGCGCACACTCCTGATTGCGCCCTTCATTTGTCAACTTGTTTTCACACGTAATCACGCTTCAGTATAAGCTTTCTGCTTTCCACCTCTTCACTGTCGGGCCATCAGCCTTTGAAAGCCTCTTTCTTTTTTGTTGAACTTTCAAGCTAATAGCGTCCTTGTTACTAGTAGTAAGGTCAGGAACTACTAGTAGCGTTCTTGCTCCTAGTAGCGATGCCAGCCCCTAATAGCGATGCACTTGTTCCTACTAGTAAGGCACTTGTTACTAGAAGCGTGGCACTTGTTCCTAAT